GCGTTATCTTCTGAATGACCATGCTAAAGCATTACTTGGCATTGGTCCTGAGTTTCGGGAGCCAACTGAGAATGATATCCCGACTGATTAAGAGAATTTGTGTACCGGCTCAGATGTGGAGTCCGATTTGGATTAGGAGATAGACCCTATACAGGCCGAGGCTGAGGCCGATGTGGGTGATATAATGAAGGACTGATTAGGGAGTTATTTTTCACTTTACCTTTTCGAACTTTATTAAGATTTTGACATGCACTGGGGACAGTGCTATTGTATAAGTGTGGGGTGAAGGTGGAAAACATATCTAATTTGTACATATATTGGGTTGAACATTGTTTTCTATTTTGTTTGATTTTGGGTTCCTTGGTAGTTGTTTTCGGTTCTTTAGCCAAGGATAGTCCCTTTGAACCGTACAAAAATACAAAAAGATTTTGTTTCTAGGATTGAGTCTGTAGTCATAGATTGAGTCAAGCTGCCCAATGATAGATGGATGACGACCGTCTTAAGGGCAATTTCGTCATTGAGTCTTAAGCTTGGTTGTGCTGAAGTTGAAAATCTGTATGAAAAACATGGTTGAAATTGATGTATGAATGCAGTGAATTCGTGTATATGATTTGAATGTGCAACTTAAGCTTAATATGGACCTTCTGCGTGACATGATTGTGTGTTGTGATTGATCCATTTTGAATACAACTTATGCCAGGAGTGGTGAATTTTGTATGATATCCATGATTGCATCTGAGTCTAGAACTTGCCCAGGTTGTTATTGAAGCGAAATACAAGTGGTATTATGTTTGAAAGGTGATAACAGGCTTTCTTTGAATTGTTTGAAATTTGAGCTTGTTCAGAAAGAAGATCCCTAGTCTAGCCCAATTGAGCCTTTTAGCCTTGATTTTGTTCTAACCCATATAATAAACCGAATCCTTTTTATTGATACCGTAGTTTTGATCCTAACCCATAATGCACTATGTTAGGAAGAAAGGTAAAAACAGCGGAAGAATGAAAGAAAAGGTAACTGATACCCCATGATTGTGAATCTGAGATTGGCCCTGGTCCTAAATAGGACAATGTGCACCTTAACTCAAGAGAAATCTCCGAGTAAAGGGTGGCTAGTGTTCATAAATAAAAAATAAAAAGATAATATTAATAATTTGAGGAAATAAAGGGGCAAGTAAGCATTAAGGAAAGGTTAGTAACACTAGTGAAATCTTATGAAGAAGAAGAGGGCTAATGAAAAGAAAAAGTTGTGAATGAAAGAAGAGAGCTGAATATAATGCATTAGGGAGGACGAGTCACTAATTGCATCTAAATGAATCCTCCCCCACCTTAAGCCTGCAACACAACCAAACCAAGTCATGTTTGATTTTGAGCATTTTACACTTTATTAGTAGAGATGTACATAATGGGCAAGTTTATGGTTCTCAGTGCATACATGTGTGATGTTGTTTGCTGAGTGAGAGTGCATATTGTCTGCAAAGTCCTTAAATTATATTCAATGGGCTAACTCGAGTGCATGGACTATTCCTTGGAGTGAGGGGCACTTGTTGTATGAAGGATAAGTGATAGGTAATGGTGCATATGTTGTGAATGCGTGGTTGCAAAAAGTTGTCCAGTCATCTACATGAGTTATGCATATTATAAATGAAAACATGCAGTGTGAATTGTGAACAGATTCTTGGAAGTTAGTAGTGGATGCACAATCCAAGGTAGTGAGTCTAGGTCTAGGAGTTGTTAGTAGTTGTTCGAGGACGAACAAAGCTTCAAGTGTGGGGTAGTGATCTTAGGCATATTTATATGCCTAGAGTGCTAATTATGCCCGCATTTACGCCTAGTTTGAATTCAAAATGTATTTGTTTGTAGTCTTATCGAGTCATTTGCTTATTTATGAGCTAACCAACATGATTAGTTGTGTAGGTATGCTTAATGGGAGAAACGAGCACAAAATGGATAAAGAAAGATATCTGAAGATTCGAGTCAAAAGAGAACAAGGAAGAAGCTGAGGAAAATGCACCAAGTCATTTACGTGTTCTCTCCGCGTCGCGCGATTGAATGCAGAATGTGGATTACAAAATTCAACTTCTAAGCAGAACATCTCGTGCTGCTCGCGCGTCGCACAGAAGGCAAAAGTATCGTGGACTCAAAATTTGAAAGTCATCGCGCGTCGCGTGCCTGAGTACCAGATTTTTGCCGTTTCGACTTTTAGTATAAATAGGGTTTTATTTTATTTTATTAAGGATCTTTTTTTGGGTTTTAAAGGACGACGATTTGGAAGAACGTTTTTCTTCAGTTTTAGGGTTATTTCTTAAACTCTTTTCCTTTCAATCGTTTGATGATTCATAACCATTGTATGATTGAATGTTGGACTATGAGTAGCTAAATATCCTAGTTCTTGGGTTGTGGCTACAAGATGATTGCAATTGATTGAGTTTTGTTGGGTTTATTATTGACCATCACATGAATCTTTCTTTGTGTTCTTATTTTCCGTATTTCATGATTGATCACCATAGAAATAAATTTATTGTCCAAATTGAACTCGGGAGAGGAATAAGAGGATAGAACGTTGGGCATAAAGAGCTTGTTGAACTCTAAATAGCTAGGGTTGATTCATTTCTAGGATAGGGATATACCTAGAGACCTCGCTTAGATCACCATACATGAAGATAACTTAATGCTCGGTAGGTAATCAGTCTATCCCCGCTCAACGATGTAGTTAGGGTGTTATCTATCGTAGGCGATTAGAGGTCGGAAGACCATGATCATACATCTAACCCTGTGATTCATTGATTCGACAGTTAATAATTACCCATATAAATGATATTGATTGCATGAATCCTGATAGAAGTTGCTGCCCTGGATCTTTCCCAAATCATTGTTTGAAACCCGTGAAAATGAATCTTGTATTTACATTTTGTTTTAAAATTTAGAAATAGAAATAAACAACCCTTTAAATTTGGAAATACATTTGTGGTTAATTGAGAACTAGAGAAATTGATAGTTTCTAAGCGTGAGTCCCTGTGGGTATGATACCCGACTCTCGAAAAGAGCCACTTTATTAATTGTATGATCACGTGCACTTGCGTGTGCGATTAGACCGCAACAATAGCTTTTCAACTAAAAATTCCCATATTGTGAGAAAGACCTTTCACAACATGTCATTATTATTCATTAGTGTACAATTGAGAATAGCCTTTCAATCAACACATCATCATTAACATAATCATAGAAACTTCATTCATTTTTCATTCATGAGTGTGTATGTGAGAATAGCCTTTCAACTATCACACCATTACATTATAGTCATAATCACATTACTCTCATTGAAATCACAAGGCATGTACATAGGCATCATGATTATACAACAATCTTCATAATTTGCCCTCCAAGGCCATGCATCATAATTCACCAACACACCTAGAATACTACAATTTAGGCATGAATAATGACATAATTCAAGTAACTATAACATTACAAGGACAATTGCATAACATTCATCCTACTACAATTCACCCATATCAAAGTCATAAATTAAGGTTATGGGAAATCATGGATTCATGGGGAATTTTATCTTAAAACCACCATAAAACAACAATTCAATCTTAATATATGATAATTAAACCATTTAAAATGTTTTGAGAAAAAATCCATGACCTAGAATGAAAATCCTTAGTTTTGGAGAATTTCCAACTTTGAAATTGAAGGTTTGAGGACTTCATGGATGAAAAGTTAACCATGAATCAAAACTACCATACCTTAATTAAAGATTCCTCACGAATTTGGGTGGAAAAGATGAGTCCTTGAGCCCTAGACCTTGACTACTTCTTCTTCTTCTTCTTCTTCTTCTTCTTCTTCAATAGAGGTTTTAGAGAGAATTATTTGGAGAGGAGTTGATTACTATTTTGGGTTTGGAAATTATGAATTGTAAAGGGGTGGTTAATGACTTAAAGTACTTATATATGTGAAATAAAACAATATAAATCGACCCCATTAATTAACTAACTAATTTGGAATTTACCAACTTGCCCCTCATTTGGCCGAACCTAGGCAGATTGCAGGCAACATCCACGACCCAGGACTCACGAACCATGAGTGGGGCTACGCCCCGTCCTGCAGGTCCGTGGGTGGTGGTCTGCAACTTCTCATTTGGGGTCTTGACCTACGAACCTCCCCCACGAGGCATGGATGGACCTATGGGGAGTAGGTCTCATCCGTAGCCCACACCATTTTGGCAACTTGGGCAGTTTTAGGGAGCTTTGGGGGTTAGGCTTTAGGGTCCTCCTCAAGGACCCTTGGTTGGTCCTTGGGGGGTCGTACCTTGACGTTTAACCCCTAAACTCCTCAACCTAAGTTCGGGAAGTCATTTTATACTTCTAAACACCACATCAAACTCAACAACTCACACGTAAGGCTCTAGTTTCACCTACTAGTTTTTCCGAGGCATTACACTACTCCCCCCCCCCCCCCCCCACTCTTTCTATATCTCTCCTCTCTTTATGTTTGGTGATGATGTATATCAATGCATATCTTGATCCTAGATACACTATTTTATATCAAACACATGTATCTATGTATAGTATATAAATATTTGATATCAGATGCATAAATAAAATTGATATCGAACACATGAGATGAGGTTAATATTAAATATATTGAATAAAGTTGATATAAATATAGTGAATGAAATTAATTTTAAATTCATAATTTTTTTGAAATTTATAAAAAGTGAGGCGAGCGAGGAAGGAAGATCAACGAGTGAGAGAAAACAGAAATGAGCGAGAAAATTAATAAATATATATCAAATTTCAAATACATACAAATTACAACTAAATAAGTAATAGTTTATTCGGAAATAAATATTTTCATGTACTTAGGGAAACTATTGTTTCACGATATGTATAATATCCTCATAAAAAAGGATTACTAAAAAGAAAGGAAAAAACCAAAATAAAATAGCCCGTGGGCCGACCTTAGTTCAGTCGCCGTTCCCCGCTGCTCATATCAGCTTCCGTTTACCGGCAAAAAAATCAGGCGTTTTTCAGAAGCAAACCGATGATAGGCAAGATGGTTTAGATTTTTCAATTTGGATAGCTATCTTTGCTCTGGCCGAAATTTGTTAGATAACACCATATCTGTATATTCAGTTTTTTTTAGGGTTCAGTAAACTAGGGTTTGAACTTTGAACCAAACGGATATGTCGAAGAGAAAATTCGGATTCGAGGGATTTGGCATTAATCGGCAAACAACGTACAACTTCGAGCGAAATCAAGCTCCTCAGCGACTGTATGTTCCGCCATCCTCACGTTCCGGAGGTAGCCATGACAATTACGAAGATACCGACTTAGATAACATTGAGTACGATGAACACGAAGCTGTCGGAGGGAACAACGATGATGGAGGCGGAGGAGGTGGTGAGGATGATGAAATTGATCCACTTGATGCGTTTATGGAAGGGATTCATGAAGAAATGAAGGCTGCACCGCCTCCTAAGCCGAAAGAGAAGTTGGATAAGTATAAGGATGATGTAGATGATGATCCGATGGAGAGTTTTCTGAGGGCCAAGAAGGATGTAGGGTTACAATTGGCTGCTGATGCTCTTCACGCTGGTTATAATTCCGACGAGGAGGTGTATGCTGCAGCAAAGGCGGTTGATGCAGGGTTAGTTGAGTATGACTCCGACGATAATCCAATTGTTGTTGATAAAAAGAAGATTGAGCCTATTACTGCTCTGGATCATAGTGAGATTGACTATGAGCCTTTCAACAAGGATTTTTATGAGGAAAAGCCTTCTATTTCAGGTACACTGTGTTCTGCTTGATGATTTCTCCTCTTGATCTAGTTTACTCATGGTCCACATTTTAACTTCGTTCTTTTGTTGGTTAGAATGACATAACGTGCACTGAAAAACCATAGATAAGAACAAGAGGTGAAAAACTAGAGACTGATTCATGATTCTAAGTTAGTGGGTGTAGAGCATTGGCGGATTCATGATTTCCAGTATAAACGTGTGAATAAGCTATCAAAACACAATTCCAAGGGAGGCAGTAGTATATAATTTATAGGTAGATAAAGTTAGATTAGTGGGATTAAAAGTCCCTAATTCCATTATTCCAGTACTTTATTTTTTAAAAAAAAAAATTATAGTGAAACGACGACGTTTTGGGCAATGGGCTCGTGGCTGTTTTGGAATTAAATGGGAAAAAATAACAAAAGCTAAATGTAAAATAAATAACTTAGTTGGTCAGATTCGAACCCTGAACACAAGGTACATTTGGAAGGCCCTATGCCACTGAGCTACGTTTTGTTTCTTGTTCAGGGTGTTCAAAATTAATATATGTACGTAAATGCAGTATATCTACCCTATATACAGTGTAAGTTTTTGTTGTGAACCCTCTCCCGCCTCTAGATCCGCCCATGGTGCAGAGCACTATCAACCTCCTGCTACTTTTAGCAGCACTTGCAAACTCAGGATAAATTCAAATTTTCTTGCTTAACTATATGTGTAGTTCAAGCAGAGGACAATGTGCGGCTGCACCAGTGCCTGCATATTGCATCCGCTTATGGGGAGAGTAGAGCCTGCCTCATGATCTGTCAGTCCTGGTGGTTTTTAGAGCTTGTTATAAATAATGGCTTCTAATACTTCATGTAAAGATTAATTGTTACAAAAACGGAAAAGGGTTAAATATTATCCATGTACTATCAAAAATAGTTTAAATATACCATTCATTATACTTTTGGCTAAATATATCTCCTTTTTTTAAAATTTGTCTAAATATATCCTTTATGTTATACTTTTGGTCTAAATTTACCCCTTTTATTATACTTGGACACTAATTTGCCTTTAATTTTGACGGAGCGACACATGACAAGCTCATAATCAAATGACCAATGTAATCTCCAATTTTAAATACCCAATTTCTTTAGAAACTCACATGTTTAACCCATTCCCGACCCATGAAATTTCCGAAAGTGAGGTTATTCTCATATTTGATTTCACATCCTCTTGTGTCTCCACTCTTTGCTGCCTCAGAAGGTGTGCAAATAATTGAAATGCACCCATTCATATTCATAATGAGATCTCTATTCAGATATGAACTCTTTCAATTTTGGAAAAGATAATGCTTATATATGTTTAGAAATTCCATAGGAATCACGTATTAATTTGCTCTGTATGTGGACGTGATTGTTTTTAGTAATAAAATAAGCTTACATTGAGAAGGCTTTTAAATAATTGAAAACCGATTATTGTAGTCAGAGAAAATATAGTCGAACTAAAGAAGTAAATTACTCCATCCGTTCCATGTACATGTCGTCCTTACTAAAAATAGATGTTCCTTTATATTTGTCATTTCACAAAGCCAATGCATAAATGACACTATTCTTCCTATTTTACCCTCAAGAGTTATTAGCCTTGAAAGCATGCATTTGACCAATATAGGAAAACTAAGTAATTGATTCATGTTAATTGGTAATTAATTAAAATAAATTAATTCATGTTGATTCATTGAAAATTTGACTTCAAGAGAACACTCAATAAGGGTACAATTTACCTAGTTTGTTAAGGGGCGTGAAACCTAAAATGGTGACAACCAAATAAGAAAGGAGGGAGTATAACGATAGGTTGCTCATGAGCACTGAAATTGTAATTTGATGGTATTACTTTTATCATTTACTGATTTTCGTGATCAAAAGTATGATAGGCTTATACTTGCTTGGAGACGAAGTTTCTAGAGAACGCAATGCTAATTCAAAATATTCATGGTGATTGAGAAGAGAGAATTAGAAGAAGATGAAAAGAAAACAACTCAAAAGTGAGGGAATGGGTTAAACGGGTGTGTTTCGAAAGAAATCAAATATTTAAAATTGGGAATTATTTAAGTGGAGAAGGGTAGAGGGGCGGGCTCATTATCCACCGAGTTTAGAAGGTTGTGATTGGTCCAAAGGGCGGGTCACAGACGGATTTCTCGGTTATCAAAAAAAATAAAAATAAAATTGGGAATCACATCGGCCATTTGATTTTGAGCTTGCCACGTGTCCCTTCGTCAAAATAAGGGCAAATTTGTGCCAAAGTAAAACGGGAGGGGTATATTTAGGCCAAAAGTACAACGCGAGGTATTTTTTTATACCAAAAGTATAACGAGGGGTATATTTAACCCTTTTCTGTTATGAAAATTGTAATGTGGGTGGTTTTAGTTTTTTGGTAGTAAATGTTGACACTTCACGAATATATGCTGTTTTTAGTTTCTTTTGGAATGAGATACAATTTTTGGTTCATATGGGGTATGGCGTTGTACTAATCCCTAACGTTTCCCTGGTGCTTTGGTCTTTTGTTTGAACTTAAAAATGATGAATCCATTTTAGAAATGTTGCGTTGGGGACTGTTGTAAATTTTATTTAAACATTGTTTCTATTGATCATTGATGTGCAAAAAGTTATAATTTGAGCTTATTCTAACTTATGGCTTTTGGCTTAGTTTTAGCTTAAAGCTAAGTGCTTATAAGCACTTTTTTAACTTACCCGAACACTCCAAAAGTGCTTACAAGCAATTTCAGCTTAAAAGCACTTGAATAGGCCAATCCGAACGGGCTCTTAGTTTTTTTGTTCCTGAAAGATGGATAATTCCATGAGACCCTTCACTTGCTGAGGCAGATTAGACAGGGAGTTTAACACCTGGCTTTCATTATGACCATGGCTTAGGGATGCCAGCTTACCAGTAGGTTTATTAGCTTCCCTAAAGCAGTGGTTGATATTGAAGCCATGAACTTCAACTAAATTCTGAATCGATTTGATGTAGCTGTCAGTATAACTACACTTGAGTTGCTTTGATGTAGCTATCAATATTCCAAGGAGATTCCCATTCACCTTTTACACTTTGTGAACAAAAGCGAGTCTGTTTCTGCAATACTCAACACTAGGTTCCTATAGTCGCACCAGTTCAAGCCATAGAGCGTAGCAGCTGCATCTGCCATGTTGCTGGTACCAGGGCCTAGGGTAATAGAGTATGCTCATAGAGTGATCCCCTGGCTATTTCTGATGAGTCCACCACTTCCACATATTCCTTGGATGCAACTTCCATCACTATTGAGTTTCACTAGCTGAGGTGATGGTCTTATCCATTTGACAATGGTGACAGTTCTTTGTTGAAGTGTGGCATCACAGACTTGACAAATACTTCTCCAGTTCTGTCCCAGATTAGCTTTTCCAAATCTTCTCATTGTTACCTGCAAAATAGTGTACACAATATTAGTGATTGTTCTGTATATGGAAGGTTTGATGGCCTCAAATTTATTACTGCATCTTGTAGCCTCCATATTTCCCAACATTTGTATGGAGTCTGTTGTAATTTGATTCTACTTGTATGGGGTTGGAGCTGAGCCCCAGTTCAGCATTATTTTATTGGTTCTCCTTGTATTCATGTGTATTTTGAATGTAGGGTTGTTTAGTGCAGTCAATAAGGAGCCCAGCTCTTCATAGTGATTGCAAGCTGCCATTATCGTTTTGCTAGTTCTTCTTTGGATTGCACATTATCTGTAATCAGTATCTTCCTTCATCCAGGTTAATGCTTTTGCTTTATGCAGGTATGAGCGATCAGGAAGTTAATGAATATAGGACAAGCTTGGCCATTCGTGTATCAGGCTTTGATGTACCAAGGCCAATTAAGACATTTGAAGACTCTGGTTTTTCTGTTGAGTTGATGAAAGCTATCAGTAAACAGGGTTATGAAAAGCCTACACCAATACAGTGTCAAGCATTACCAATTGTGCTCTCTGGGAGAGATATTATTGGTATTGCTAAAACTGGGTCCGGTAAGACTGCTGCTTTTGTGCTTCCTATGATTGTCCACATCATGGATCAGCCTGAACTTCAGAAAGAAGAAGGCCCCATTGGAGTTATTTGTGCACCCACTAGGGAATTAGCACATCAAATATTTGTGGAGGCAAAGAAATTTTCGAAATCGCATGGTATCCGTGTGTCTGCAGTTTATGGAGGAATGTCTAAATTGGATCAATACAAAGAACTAAAGGCAGGGTGTGAGATTGTTGTTGCTACTCCAGGGAGGTTGATAGATATGATCAGAAAGAAGGCATTTACAATGTTGAGAGCAACTTATCTAGTGCTTGATGAGGCTGATCGGATGTTTGACCTTGGTTTCGAGCCTCAGATAAGGTCCATTGTTGGTCAAATTAGACCTGATCGCCAAACATTGCTCTTTTCAGCAACTATGCCCCGCAAAATTGAGAAGCTTGCCAGAGAAATATTGACGGATCCTGTAAGAGTTACTGTGGGTGAGATTGGCACGGCTAATGAGGATATTACACAAATAGTTGAAGTGATTCCTTCGGATGCTGAAAAATTGCCTTGGCTTCTGGAGAAGCTCCCTGGACTGATTGACAATGGTGATGTTCTTGTCTTTGCTTCGAAAAAGGCAACAGTGGATGAGATTGAATCCCAATTGGCTCAGAAGGGATTTAGAGTTGCAGCTCTCCATGGTGACAAGGATCAAGTTTCTCGTACGGAGACGCTGCAAAAATTTAAATCTGGCATATATCATGTTCTCATCGCAACTGATGTTGCTGCTCGTGGTCTTGACATCAAATCACTTAAGTCAGTGGTGAACTATGATATAGCTAAAGATATGGACATGCATGTTCACAGAATTGGGAGAACAGGTCGTGCTGGTGACAAAGATGGAACGGCCTACACTCTTATTACTCATAAGGAAGCACGTTTTGCTGGTGAACTGGCAAACAGTTTGGTTGCTGCTGGTCAAACTGTGTCCGTGGAACTAATGGACCTTGCTATGAAGGTACTTCTATATTTTTTATTTGAAATGCTTGAAGCTTAGGATTAAGGATTCTATTTTCTTGTTTTATCCTCTTAAATTTCACCAAGTGCATTACATTTTGTGATATTCACCTCTTCCATTCATTGCCACTGCTCAAGTTTGTGTGCCACACACTCAGACACAAAATTAAAGTAAAAGATGAACCAAGAAAAAGGGAAACATTTTCCCTTTTGAAGTCAAAATCTATAATGACATCCTTTCCGTAGATATTATTTACTAGAAAGCTACGATGATAGATCAGAGAATGCTTATTTGTTCTTTTGGTTTCTCAAACGAAATACGAGTCCAAGGATGCAATGTTGTGGGCTGCTGGGATTCAATTGTCGCACAATCACGGGTTGCTAGGATTCATGTTGAAGTATACAATTGAAGGATGGATCAGAGATGCTTTAACATGATTTGGAGATTACATGGTCATTGCAACACAAGAAGCCTCCAAACCTTTCTTGTCTAGCTGAGTTTTATTGTAGACATCTTAAAAAACCTAGCAGGAGTAGCTTGAGATGCCAAGCTAATTTATGAAATATTAACTATTTTATTTATGGATGTGAATTGGAAAAATAGGAGTATGTAAACCTTGGTAGAAATGTTATTAGACTATGTAGTATCGCGTAGCACCTGGTAAGGTATGATATGTAGATATATTGAGAACTATCTAGAGACGGAAACCAAGGATGTGGCCTATTGGTCAATGGAGTAGTTTGGGAACCATGAGGTCTCAAGTTCAAATCTCAGCAGAGGCAAAGACGCTGCTCCCTCCGTCCCAATTTAAGTGGCACCGTTTGACTTGCACAAAGTTAAAGAAAGAAAAGAAGACTTTTGGAATGTGTAGTCTAAAATAAACCTTAGACATTTGTGTGGCTATGAATCATTTCATCAAGGCTAAAAGGACAATTTTAAAGTTGTACTCTTTCTAATTATAGATAGGTGACATTCTATTTCGGATGGATTAAAAAGGATAGTCTGCCACATAAATTGGGCAGTGGGAGTATTTTATTTTCCGCTATTGCTGAATAGATTCCAATAGATCATAGGTTTTTTGAGATAAATTTTCATGTGATTTTAGGTCTGCATCACACTTTTAACTCCTTCACTCAACCTCTTATTTATCCTGTGTGTGTGTGTTGCACCTTTTGACGAATGTGGTCATTTCTAATTTTGTCTAATCATGTAGAATATTATATTTGTCTTAAAAACCAGTCTTGCAACATTTATCTTGTGGATTTTAGATATGTAATATTTACTCCCATACAATGGTGCTAGTCTTACAACTGTTGTATAAAACTTCCCTCATTTAGTAGGTATCCTTCCGTCACATAACAGATCGGCAACACTTGACCAATTCAACCATCCCTTTTTGATTCTGTGTGAACCCTCATTTATTATACTATTCTCTGGATCATCAAATCTATATATCTAAATAAAAAAAAGACAAGTTCAATTCTGTCTGAACTTCACCCCAACTTGAATGTTCGTATGCTAACTAAAATTGCAGTATATTTAGTCTCTCTTGTCCTTAAGCTCTTACTATCTGGTGTGCTTCTCCACATTCCAAGCCTTTGGTTGACACCCTTGTTAATTTTGTCGATTAGCATAATATTGTCTGCAAATGGCTTACACAGCGGGACCTCATCGGGTATAATGTCAGTTAGCTCATCCATAACATATAGGGTACATAACTACAGGTTCAATGCCGTTCCCTGGTGTAAAGTGTAAACCATGGTTGTGGAGATATTCTTTGTATTTCCTACTTCTGTTCCCACTGTGGATGATAAGTTCTTGCAGAAACTGTTGTAGCGTCTTCTTTCTTTTGGATTATTGCTCCACTTTTGGTCTTTTGGAGATATCTCTTTTGTTTGGATGATTGGTGAATTTCCTTTACTTGATTAAGCACCTTCTGAGCACAGCATTATTTTAGACATTTATTGTCATTTTTTGCTCCTTGTTTTGTGCTTCTTATTTGGGTTGTGCTTAAAATACTCAGATCTTGTTCTGTTTGCATGATTAAATTTATTGTGTAAAATTTAGGACGGAAGGTTTCGGTCCAAAAGGGATGCAAGGAAAGGAGGTAAGGATTTATTCTTAGTGTTGATCTTATTGAAGATTTTCCCCAAAATCGTACATTGATGGGCACTGATGGTTCCATATAGTAACTCTTGGGGATTTTGTTCTATTGATCCACCCTCCTTTTAATAACTGTAAAGCTTGGGGAGAAGGGAAGTGGGATTTCTTTAGATTCTTGATTGCCTAACCAAACTATTAATGAGAATTTTATGCCTTCAGGTGGAAAAAGGGCCAAAGGAAGGGGAGGAGGAAACAATAAAGGTGTACGAGGTGTGGATTTTGGTCTAGGGATTGGATACAATCCTGAATCAAATAACCCTCCCCAGAGCGCTGCTCCAAGCCGTTCTGCAGCTGTTAATTCCCTGAGGACAGGAATGATGGCACAATTTAAAAGTAGCTTTGTTGCTGCATCATCAAAGTCTCAAAATCAAGGGATGAATAACACAGCTGGCGCGTTTCCCAACAAGAAAATGGTCTTGCAAGGCTTTGTCTCTGGTGGGACTATAGGTGGAAATAGTAATACTTCCCATATTAGTTCCACATTTACTGCTGCAACATCTGGGGCATATACTTCTAGTCAGCCAGCTAGAGATGGAGCTAACCAGAAAAGTTCAGAGAGGTGACTATATCACCTTATCTACATCTGGTTTCTCAATTAATGTAAATGAAGTACTTGAACATTAAATTAATTAAAGTCATTTTTTCACCCTTGCAGTTCAAAGGAGAAGTCCAGAGAAAGACGGAGGCCTTCTGGTTGGGATCGTTGATTTGTTATTTAGGTATACTGGGATAATCAACTTGTTGGAAAATGTACTTTTCCTTTCAAATTAACCTTGATCTTCTTTTTTTTCGGTCAATTTTTTTCTTGGTCTTCTATATAGTATTAAGTTATTGCACAGTTATTTCGCTTAGATTTGTGTACTTGTAGTTTCTGTCTAGTTGGTGTTTGATTCCCCTCCTATGATTTTGGTGATGCAGTACTGTGGGATATGCTTGGTTTATGTGTCACTCCCCATCATGGTCTTAAGTTGGTGCAGCTTTTCTTTCAAACTCACCATTCACATCGAGGAAATGAAGGGAAGATAAATTGTTATATCCTTAACAAGTAGGGAGTGTGCAAAGTCCAATCAGATTGGCGTCCATTGCAGAAATGGCTTGGGAGGAAGTTATGGTGCTTCTGAAATGGTTCGTGCAAAATGATCTTTATTGTCCAAGAGTGTATCTTATATGTAGCATTTGGTTCTCTTGATACATCAAAATTGTTCCTGTAACTTTAATACCTTTCTGGACTTCAGAAAATTTTAACATAGGGCTCAAGTATGGAAGAGACACAAGTGTAAATTATTCACTTTGGCTGCTGTTTCAATTGCACTGTTAACTTTTGCTACTTGTGGATTATGTCGTAAGGACATCCAAAGACTGCCTCACCCATGTCAAATCCTCCCATAACTCTATTTTTGGAAGATGAGATACGGCATGGGGCCGCTGTGTTTTGGAAGAGCCGAGCAACATAGCTTATGGATGAAATCAATTTTGATTTGGTCGCTGTGTGTTGCTTTGGTCCTGAAACTTTCTGCTTCAAAATTATGTCTTCCCAATGATACTTATAAGATGGATATGGTAAAGCCATATGCTATCTCAAGTGTTCTTATGGCTATCAAACTGTAGGTTATATGATTGTATCTAAAATTTAAGAATGAATCGAGATTTTTGAAATTTATGATTTAAAATAAATTATATATATTTGGGTGATTATAAATTATTTTGGTAATCTATATTCATTCCATTCACTTTTACTTGTCTATCACATTAAATATATATTAGAGTACACTTTTACTTGTCACTCATCACATATAATATTTTTCAATAATATTCTATTCTCAAAATCAATTCTCAAGACCTAAGATTATATATCAATTAATATGACTTTACGGTGAAATATTTATATTAATTTTGGGTGTATTTTGAAGAAGTAGCACCAAGTAATAATCATCTAAAATAAATTACTCCCTCCGTTTTAAATTTGATAGGCATTTTAGTTTTAAAGAATTATTCCAAGTAATTACCATTTAAAAAAATTAAGATTGAGATTGACAATTAACTTTAGTTGTATCCTTAACATCACATACTAATTACTTTTAATAATACTCAATTCTCAAAAATATAAAATTACTAAATATACTTAATATTTATAATATTCTTTTAATATACTTGAAAGTAGGGGTGTTCACGGGTTGGTTTGGGTCTATTATTGGTCAAAATCAAAACCAAACCAACTTAATCGATTTTAAAATTATCAAAACCAAATCAAACCAAATATAATATACATTTATCGGTTTGGTTGTTTTCGGTTTTTTTGGTTTGGTTCGGTTATTCGGTTATTAACCATACATAAAAATAAAAGAAACAATTCATTCAAAATGTGAAAAAAGTGACAACAATCCATTCAAACGAAAAATAGTTAGAATGACTGGCATTACAAAACTTTCGATCATTGAATTTACTGAATAAAACTTCAAAATTCACTATTTTGGCATAGAAGAAAGAGACGATGACATTTTCAGTCCCACAAAGAATTTCCATAGACACTCATATACATGAAACCAATAAGAAAAATGTTCTCACCTTAGACATTTTTTCTTTCATAAGTAAATTATAAATAAATTTTGATGAAACATATATAAAATCTTTAAAATTGTTAATGAATATAATATATTATGTATGTATAATAATAAAATTTATGTATATAACTTCTTGGTTCGATTCGATTATTTCTTCGGATTTTTTCGAGCAAAACCATAACCAAACCAAATACTATCGGTTCTTAACAATCTAAAACCAAACCAAACCAAAACTCAAATTAAATCGATTTGGTTTGATTTTTCAATTTGAATCGACTTTTATCCAAACCATGAACACCCCTACTTGAAAGTAAACTAAAACTTTATTAGTTAAAAAATAAGGAGGAGATATTTGAGTGAAATTGGAAAGAAAAGAAAGAGAATGCTTAAACCCTAGTTTTTTTTTTTTTTTTTTTTTAACCGTGGTTTCTGGGCGTCGCTTTGCGAACCCGACTAGCTGTACCCACCGGGTCCCGTTGTTTCAAGGCGGGTCCACCACGGTTAGTTCCACGGGGCCCTGGAGGCTTAAACCCTAGTAAAAACCCTTGTGAATGCGAGCTGGAGGTTATACTTGAGAAAGTTATCGGGCCAAAATGATCCGGAATTTGACCCGTCAGATTTCAAACGAGACCCGACTGAACCTCAGAAGACTATGTTTCACGGCGGCGGAGCAGAGTGGAAGAGATTCGAGGCTCTACCGGAGATTGTCGGCTTTAGGAGCCACAAAAGGGTCGGTTACTGAAACAATAAATGCGTATACGAGAGAAGGCAGAGTTGTGAAGAAGTATGAACTGGAAAAATGCATCAAGGAGCTTCGCAAATATAAAAGATACCAGCATGCTCTTGAGGTATAGTATTCTATACCCTCTGAAATCTCTTGATCATTTAGCTCACCAAGTTTACTTTATTAGTAATAGAAATGAAATGAGCTGGTAAAATGGAATGTATATAGTTTACATTGCTGATATAACTAATTTATACTGTGGTTGACAGACTTGTGTGGAGTTTAGGGACGAATTGTTTAGGATATAGATGATTCATATGATGATTGATTGCTATAGTTTTGGAATTGGAACATTTAAATTTAGAATGACAACTTTTACCGTATGTTGAAAAGGGTTTTCAATCTGTAGTTGCCAAGCTCTTGTTATTGGCTCACTATATCTTCCCATTCCTATCCTTTCCGTAGTACAAGGCATGTTTTCAGGCTTAACCAGTTCCTGTATAAGATGTAAAAATATCAAGAAGAAACAAGCTTGTATCAACTCTTAAGACAAATTGTTGGCCGGTATTGGAATGAATCCCCTGAATATAGTGGTATGTGAATACGTATATGAGATTTTTATAGCCGACCCCAAATAGTTTGCAATACTGATAAGGCATTGTTGATTGTTGTGTTATAATGAGCTAGTTAGATCTTTTGGAGTTTACCTGCTGCAATTGTATTGTATTTTTCTATCAACTGTTCGCCAGGAATATGTTTATGCAGACATTGTTTCGTTATGCCATCTAGATGGAGTATATCCACATAAAATGATTTTGAATATCATGAGTTGATATTCCTATTTATTGTTGCAGATAATGGAGTGGATGGAGAAAAGAGGTATAAACTTTTCGTATGGTGATTATGGAGTACGATTGGATCTCATAGCAAAAGTTCAAGGAATAACTGCAGCTGAAAAATACTTTGGCAGCCTCTCACCCTCCATGCAGAATCAAAGCACTTATGGAGCACTCTTGAATTGCTACTGTGTTGAAAAAATGACAGACAAGGCGTTATCCTTCTTTGAGAAAATGGATCAATTGAAGTTCACAAATAAATCATTGGCATTCAACAATCTTATGTCGTTATATATGAGACTAGGGCAACCAGAAAAAGTCGCCCCTTTGGTACAGGAAATGAAGAGCAGAAAGGTTCTGCTATGCACATTTTCATATAATATCTGGATGAATAGCTATTCTTGTTTAGATGATATAGAAGGAGTGGAAAGGGTCTTCGAAGAGCTAAAACAGGAGAATGCAAAGGAGTGCGATTGGACTACATATAGTAACTTGGCTGTTGCCTATGTTAAGGCTGGGCATAACGAAAAAGCTGAGTTAGCTCTAAAGAAGCTTGAGGAAGAGATGGGACCTCGTAATCGTCAGGCTTACCACTATTTGATTAGTTTGCACGCCAGAATATCTAATCTAAGTGAGGTTTATCGTATTTGGGGTTCTCTAAAGAGTTCCTTGGATCTAACCAATTCTAGTTATCTTGTCATGCTTCAGTCCCTTAGTAAGCATAACGACATGGATGGTTTAAAGAAATACTACGAGGAATGGGAATCAAGCTGCTCTACTTATGATATGAGGCTGGCAAATAATGTCATTGGAGCTTATCTGAGACATGACATGTTAAACAATGCGGAGAAAGTCTTTCATAGTGCTTTGAAGAGATCACAAGGACCTTTCTTCTTGGCTTGGGAAATGTTCATGCTTTTCTATTTGAGGAAGCGTCAAATCAATTTTGCTCAACAGTGCATGGAAGCAATTGCTTCTCGGATGAAGGAAAACAAATGGCGACCAAAATATGAAACCATAAGTAATTTTCTCGAGTATTTTGTTGAAGAAAAAGATGTTGATGGTGCTGAGGATTTCTACAAGTTTCTGAAGAAGGTAAATTGCCTTAGTAGTGATGTCTATAGTTCATTGCTTCGCACTTATGCAGCTGCCAACAGAACAACAGACGATATGAGACTGAGAATTAAGGAAGATGGTATTGAAATGAGTTGTGAGCTTGAAGAATTGCTTATAAGTGTTTGTCCTGAATAATTAAAAGGATATTTACCTACTATATGGTTTTGTTTCTTTTCCATCTTCTTTTTGTGTAACATATGTTCTTTAAAGAAGTATACTATGGTAATTCTTTCATTTCACATTTTTCATTTTCTTTTCCTCTACTCTGCATATTCGGTCATAAGTGCGAAATTTAAAGAACTGAATCAGGGGGGATCCAACTCTTCAGGTACAGATTCTCAAGAGCCCAGTAACTTTTTCACCATTAAAATTTGTAAATATTTGATTTTGAACCCGATTATCATTAGAAATTAATTTCAGATTATTATAGGAACTCATAAACTTCAATCCTGGATCTGCCTTGGCTTGGAATGACATAAAACTTTAATATATGCAGAAAATTAGTATTGGGATTGAAGTTGATATGACTCATATGGCTCACATAGTTCTCAAAGGAACCTTTCCAAGTTGCATGATTTACACTTTTGCATCTTGAAATGTATAGTCAGTTAGTGACATAGCATATAGCTTTGAATTTTGATGCTACTCCAACACAGAAGAGAAAGAAACTGTAAAATCCAAGTGTAAAGTTCTATATTTTATCACAAAACAGAACTAGAATCAAGAATGATCTAATCAACGTCAACTCGAAAGCAAAAAAGTTATCTGCAGAAAGCTGTCCCAGTTTTAAAGATTGCTCATGGGTGTAAAAGGGATGTTCTTGGTTCTCGAGACTCTATGCCCAACAAAGATGGATATACAAAAAGCCACTGCTGAAGAGAAGGGAGAATGCTGTAGCAGCATCCCAAGAACTTCGCTGTGGCACCTTGGTGAGCTCAGAACTATCTGGCAAGATATCCAACAGTATCCAATCGCAGCTAATTGAAAAATGACCAGACCCGTGCCACGGTTTTCCATCCATGGGGTACCAAAATGCGCCAGATATCTTACTTGCTTTGCCAATTGTGAACTGAGCATCCTGCGAAAAATCCACACCCCTCAAAATCAATCAACTAAACCTCAGCAGAAATTAAAGGGATGATTTGGCAGACAAAAGGAAAATGGGGTTGACAAATGACAACATTTTTGTCTTAAGTTCTTTGCACCCTCCCCCACCCCAAAAGGCCAACACTCTGTTCTTGCAGGTTTAAGTTGTGTAAATAAGAAATGCGTATGAACAGAAAGAATGAACTACTCTAAAGTCTACTGCCAGAGGGAATTTCAACTGTAACAGAATTTCATCCAATTACTAATGTTGCATTAACACTTTGTTACCTGTTGAAGGCGATCCACTGTTCTCAGCGGCCTGGAAAATTCAAAATAATATGCACCCGATTGGTTGCTGGACGAATATGGGCTGTCATCCTTAATAAAACCTGTTTCAACAGGTATTAGATGTTGGAACAAAAGTAGTAAGCGACAAGAATTTTAAGACACTAACTATCAAACAATAATAAAGATTTTGCTTCATAGGATTCCTAGCATTTTTTCTTGACATGTCAACAGCCTCCGCAATGAGAAGCCACAGTGGTCCAACATAGAGGTATAGAACACAACCAAGGTCACTGCCTGCAACACAAGATTATCTTCCTCTAATCTCTTTCTTTACCTAAGAGATTTTAATGACTGAAAACAGCATGGTGCTGGTGTATGCACAAAGTGAAGGATACAGAAGCTCAGTCCTGATGCTAAATCTTTTGGTAACTGAGGGAGTCCTGTAAAGATCCCCAACTCTAAATACAGCCTTCCGGAAAGTGGCTACTGTACGACAACTGTAAATATTTGGACATCATTACAGTTAGACCTATAAATACCTCTTATTTTCTAGTTAGTGTAGTCACGGAGACCTAGGTTGGAAAGAGCATTCTATCTCACCGGAACCTAAACTAGTCTTCTGTGGTATGACAGATCTCTACTGGTTACGACAGATAATCTTCCCAGTCATTCAGCTATACTATCTTCAAAATGCAGAAAAAGGTGTAATGAGTCTTGCTCGTATCCATTGATTAGCATGGTTGAGAAAGACAGAACTTAACTAAGACTTTCACAACGTAGGAGCACAAAAAGAATCTAATGGACAGATGACTCCTGGGAAAGTTTAGTCATGCTCTACATAGACCCCCCAAATGCAACATTCTGTAAGTCTGGCACCCTGATGATTGAAGATGTCACAAAGAGACGAGATGGACCACCTTACTTTACATATGATTTGGAAAATTACTCCTGGTTCTTACCAATGTTTTCCATTTGACTCACAGCACATGATGCCTAAGCAGGTCTGGTAATCCAGTGTCCAGCTTCAATCTAATAGTAAAGATTTGTTTTTGTTGTTCAATTTATCATCTTCTGCAATGAGGCGCTAACATATTTGCAAACCAGCACTTTGTATAGTAGATCTATGTGGATAAAAATATATGTAACAAAAGAAACAAACCAGAAATTTGAAAGAAAAACATTTCAACAAGGTGAATAACAAGGACATTAAGACATCCCACACAGAAAAGCATTTTAACGAGGTGCATAACAAGGACATTAAGACATCCCACACGAGACATAACTGATATCATTTCAAAATCCAAAAAGGTGTCTGTGGAAGTTCGGTTGAGAATCTGGAAGAAAAAGAAGGCCGTGCAACAAAAGAAGAAGAAGATCCATTACAGGATCAATTTCTTAGATCAATGAAATCAAACAACCAATTGATCCGCAGAAAGTTGGTGAAGCTGGCTCATCGCTTTCAGTCTTTAAGACTGTTACTGAAGTGGAGTAGGTTATATTTCACTTTTCACTCAGAACAATCTGCCTATAAACCCTTCTGAGTTTCAGACTAAATAAGATAACTATTGTTCTATTCTATGAGCCAATTTGTTTTTGCACTTCCAACCACAACGGTTTCACAATTGTCCTATACCTGTATGTAACTTTTGAAACTTCTAGATTCATCAAAAATTGAGAAGGCTTCCTAATATATTTATACCACTTGCTATAGGCTAGATAAGAATGCAGCTTAATTCCTCCTAATTTTGTTTTACCACAGAAGAAAAAGTAAAATATACTCAAGTGAGAAAAGGACAAATGTTCAGGGATTAGAAGTCATATCGCTATTTACCTGAGTGAGTCAAGCTACTGTGCCACCATGTTCCTTTCCAATCATTCGGTGCACTAGTATCATTTACTGTTATACAAGGAAAAGTCAATAGGCAGACCAGAGGGAAAAAGAGAAAAATCGGTTGAAACATAAATAGGCAATATAATTCCATAGTTTGGATACTAAAATGGTATTTCCAACAAGACATTTCAGTCAAAATTTCCCTCTTGTACAGGAGAATTATCTTACATCCCAGTCAAGTTTACTCAGACAAATTTTGCAGGTTGTTGAAAATAATGACTGTCTAATGTCATAATGCAATTTTATTTCCTCGTGGAAAGTAGATCCAGTGACACTCAGTGTAGGAAGGACCAACATATACACTGTTGACAGCAGTTCCCTTAAAATGTGGAGGCGGGAGAGTTTTATGCAGAATTAGTTTTAAAATGACACAATTCACAAATCTAATATAAATGGAAAGACACACAAACACAAAATAAATAAATAAATCTAATCCTGGCAATACAAGATCTGTATCTCAATCCAGGTTAAAATGTTGCACATCATGATAACAAATAGCTAATATGCATATAAACAACTTCCTTGCTACTTGACGAGTCTTTTGCAGTTCTACATTCGTTTCTGTGTCTCAGTACAATAAATGCAATGATATCACTACACTATTATCCATGCTACTGATTGGAAAACAAAGAAGCAACTATTAGCTATACTATCTACCATCCAATTATACACACATGAGACCAATCTTGAAGCTTCTCAAAGAAAAAACGTATTTAGAAAAAAAATCTCCATATCATACCTGATGGACCATAGCCATCCAAATAACGGCAGTGTGGGTTCCAACAATACAGATCAACCAAATGACCAAACCTGTCCTAGTGTGCCAACAGAAACGAATTAGTACTTCTTTACTAATTTAATGGCACAAAAATTGTTGTGATTTGCAAGAAAGAGTGCAGAACCAGTTTGATTACCTGTCGCCCCCATTTCCCTCACTGTTATCTAGCAGGTTCCCTCCATAGAGTCTTCCAGGAATTGCCTTTCCTATTGAGAAATGCATAAGGTCAACTTCATGGCCCTTGCATGACTTGCTCGTGCAAGTATCAGGTTCTTCTTCACACCCTCCCATCTTGAAGTTATGAAGTAGAAGAGCCTCTCAGATGTTATTCCAAAAGCAGTTCATGATATTTAACAGGAAGAAGTAGGATAAAGAAAGGAATGAAAGGAAAGAGAAAGAATAGGTGTTGGAGCCACTTACTCTATGATAAGATGCATTTTCACCAATTTGGAACATAAAAGCAACTGATGCTGGCTTGTTACTGTATCTGAAAGTGAGCGATAAAAATGTGAGAATTAAGGGTCTCAAACAAGGAAAGATATGTCAGACATTGTTTGAGAAGCAACAACTACATGTCACAAGCATTCCTACAGTCAAATTAACTGTACAGATGATGGCTTTTGTTATTCCAGTCAAAACTCAAACCTTTACCCAACCAATGTGGTTTCCCATAATTGATCAAACTGCTAATGTTTTAGATCAACTTAAGCATATTAAATAACTGATGACATGGAAATACTGCCTCTTGCCCAAGTAACTTGTTCCCTTTCTGTCTGACCAAATTTATTTGATGTTACTACTTAATTGAAGAGTCTCCACCTCTAAACTAATCAATCAATCAATAGACTAATCAACTATAACAATCCCAAACTCTATGCGAGCTTCACATTACCATTCCTAAGCCTTGATAAAGGAGGATGTTGCGAGTTAATGGTTAACATAAAAATGTCATAAAATCAAGAATCCACCTCTAAACTAAGCTCATTCACAATTTTTAATTGAACATAACATTTCTTTGAATATCTACTTATATCCTTTTTTCCTTCCTAATTAAGCAGTAAATACAAATTGTCATAAAGTATGAAGGTCTCTTTGTCCTAACATTTGAAAAATCCATACCCTTCAGAATATGTATAATCCCCATCGACTTGCAACATGAAGAAAACATCTTTGCCATCATGTGACGCCTGCGCAGAAGGACAAAAACATCTTGTGCTCAAACTCATCCTAGTAAATACAATCAATAAGCAGTGGCGTAGCCACTTACAGTCGAACACCTTCGTCGAAAAATTGTAATATATATAGAAAATTATACAAAGAATATATGTCTATACATTAATTTTTGAACATCCTTAACGAAATTTCTCACTTCGCCACTGTCAATAAGTAAATGCAATCAATCAACTACGCTTCAACCACAAGCTAGTCGGTCGGGTAGGGCCATATGAATCATTTCTAACTTATCCATTTCATCCGGATTTCAGGGCAATTCAACAAAAAATCAAAAGTATTTAAGACAAAAATTTAATCTTTTCGAGGCTATTTCACAAAAGGGTAGTTCCAACAAGAATCCAAAGTTAAAAAAAAAAAATTGAATCTTTTCTTCCAAAATGAGTTGACAAGTACCTTGACAGTCATTTTCCCACCATTGTATGCCTTATCTGCATCTGGGTCTAAAGCAGGTAAAACAGAAAATGCAGAACCATCAATATCTTTCCAGTCATCAACTTCTCCATCGAGGGTTATTCTTCCTGAGTTGAAGTGGGCTTGAACATAGGTATCGGTGTTGGAATCACAACTCCAGTGAGCTGCTTCATGGTGAGAATTCAGAATTCCAGTTTGAGCGAAGATCAAGATCGTTACAAGTGAAGAAACTCTTCCAGTTTGAAAGTAGTATTTCTTGGAGAACACTGGATACCCCTAACAGTACTTCACTGAAACAATCCTCTTTCAAATAAAATAGCAAAGTAATTAAGAGGAAGTAAATAGGAAAACTCGGGACCTTGTCATCACTTATGACATTCAGTTAAATACTCTTGATACAGCTGAAATTTTTTCTGAAAACCTAAATCCTTTTGTTTCAACAATCTAAAAGTTTGCAGCTCATTTGCCCCCAGCATTGCAAGACTATCATTGAATTTGAGCTCTACGGGACACCCCTCATCGAACAACTCCACTCCTGACATCTCTTTGCTGGCATTTGAGATAGGTTCTTCGTGTTTTTTATAGATGAAGGTTGTAAATCTTTTATCAGGTTCTACTCCCAAATCCATTTTTGAGATATAACAGTCTGAGAATGCCACAGGTTCATGTAAACAGAGAGGCCTCATTTTTTCCATCCAATCGCTAGGGCACTCAGTATCTGCATCAAGGGAAACTAAATAGCCATCATCAGGCCCATTATCAGAGTGTGACAAACCGAATTCACGGGCCACCTTCATAACTTTATCACTCTGAAGCCTCAACTCAGCATCAAGTGGCAATATATCTCTTTCTGCAATTCGAAGGTTATTAAGAGCTACCAGAAAAGGAGGAGGAAGAACCGGAGCAGAAGAACGGCAAGACTGAACTTCTTCTGGTATCTCATCAATCCAACATTTATGCAAGGGAAAAGGCAGTGGATATAGTTTGTCGAAAATGTCAGAAAATTTTAGAGAACGTTTCTTCGGTTTCAGGGGAAATTCAGGGAATCTAAAGAAGGCAGAGAAAGTGAACCCCAGAAGATTATTAGGCAAACTGGTGCTAATGCTTTCTAGTGCAATCTCATAAATGCTTGCTGGCAAGCTGATACCTTTGATTACATCAGAAACGGTTAGAGATGATTTTAGTCTTGTGACGCCACATTCTTGAAGCTTCTGACATATTTGCTGGTGGAACTCTGACCGGTTTTCTTCAGAATCCTTTAGATTCTCTATGTATTTCCTACTAATGAATTTAGGTAGTTTCCCATTCAGATACTCTTTAAGAAAGTCAAGGCCCAGGTAGATGTGGCTCTTTTTCAATTCCAATTCGTCAACACCCATATCATATAGAAGGTTATTTTCAGAACACAGAGAATTTCCTCCATAAGGTGCTTCTGACTTTTCCTCAGAGTCCCATGCTGCAGTGTATCTCTGAGCTTCTAAACTGCCACAGGACATTAACCTTACAAGGAAAAAGCTAGCAGAGCTATCAGTATCATCTGATTGGATAGAAAGGCCATTGTTGAGAATACCAAACCCCAAAACAATGACTTTCTTTTGCCTCCAATCAATCCAATCAGGAAGAATATCTTCAGAGAAATATGCTCTCATAAGACAACTTTCACGACAGCAATCATGACCAGACAGTGAGAGGCCTGAAGGTCGCCCCCAAGCATATACTGATTTACTGAGCCTCGAAATTTCTGAAAATTTATGGCTATGATTGCTGTCTGGCCCATAGCAGAATAGAGCAAATTCACAGTCCCAGAATGATCCTACCAAAATGCAACGCCCTGATTCAGTAGCCCAATCCCATTTATCATCTCTAGTACGTCGCCTCAGGTCAGACAATCTCAAAACAGTCACGTAAGCTGGATTATTCAGACCATGTACCCACCGCAACAATGGCATCAATGGCTTCCGCACATCACAAAGAAGAAGGAAGCGTCCAGAAACAGCAGTAAAACAGAAGGCGTCAGCCTCCACTCTAGAAAGTGCAAGAAATTTATCAGTTCTATCCGACGACACTGCCTCCATATTTAGCAAGGTGCAGACCTTGCACTTGTCTGACCTCAAATCCACCAAAAATACAGCCCTTGAATTTGCAACAATCAAAATCCTTGGATGCCAGCTAAATTCACAGGTTACCCACTGTTCATCTCTATCCAACTTATCCCACAAAACTTGCAATTTCTTGCCTTGCAATACATCAGAAGCACAGAAAGCCTGACTCTTTCCGCAAGAACCCATATCAAACAAAAACAAATCCCCATTTTTCAACATCACCACACACTCTTCTCTCAAATGTGGGCTCCAACAAGCATGAGAAACAGTCCCACCCTTAAACAAGTTTCTATCAGCACTACCCACATAATCTAACATAACATTTTCATCTCCTTTAACCCCTATCTTTAGGCTATACCAATGAACAGAATACAAAGTACAAACCAATAAATACCCAAAAGTAATATAACTAGAAGAACAAGAATCATCAATTTCACTAACTGGGTTCACTAATAACCTCAAAATTCTAAAATTCAGCTTGTGATTATGCACTAAAAATGATGTATCATTCTTGAATTTCTTAGCCACAAATTGGGTGTCTTCAGAACAGAGCATAAATAACCCAACTTGGTCATAATTCTCCCCAGTTGGAGAAATTCCTATAATTGAATTGGGTTTGCTATTTTCACCAACATTAGGAAGAGGAAGAAACTGGATTGAATTAAAGTTGTGAATTGAGTCAGAAACCTGTTGAGTAAACTCTGTAGCAATTGAAGAAGCGGCAGAAAAAAGCATACCACTTGAAGTTTGAAGGAATCTTGGCAAAGAGAGGTCAGGAACCGGAGGAGGAAGCCGAGTTGATAACAATGGCGAACGAAGGAGTAGCGTCACCGTTTCTTCACATGGTCTGAAAATCAAAGGTTCAATTGGACTATCAATACGGCGGCGTTTCGAAGAGGATTCTTCGTGTGAATTTGAGAGTAGAAGTGGTGGAGAATAGGATGAACATATTGGCCAAAGAGACTTCCACTCGTCGGAAAAATTCATCTTTCTTTTTCTTGCCGGCAGGTTAAACTCACTCAAGTTAAAAATTAAACTCCACCCAAAAATAGGAACATTTGTGGGATACAGAGTGTAAAAAATCTGAAATTATTTGGCAGGGTACTCCATAGGGATTACCCAAGTTGTGACTCGCCGGCGTCTAATCAACCAACATAGGTTATTTGCCCACAACCACAAGATGGGTATCTTTATGAAAATATTACGTGTCTAAATACACAACTTATTTTATTATATCTTTTAAAATTTTCTATTATTTGAAAAGAATTAGAAAATTTCCTACTCATTTTTATGCGATGTATCGAGACGCGTCTTGAGACGTTGAGTGATGTATCGAGATGTGATGTATCAAAACGTTGAAGGATATATCTGAAACCGGAATGTGATATATCAAGACGTTTTGAGATGTATCTGAATTCCACAAAATTTAAGAGATTTTTGTGATTTGAAAAAGAGTAGGAATAAGATGTAATTAGCTCTTAACATAACTATGAGATTTGTGATGTATCGGTTGAATATTGGATAAGATGTAATTAGCTCTTGACACTATGAGATTTGTGATGTATCGATAGGATATATCACTTTATGCGATGTATTGGGATGTTGAGTGATGTATTAGAAATCGAGACACAATGTATTGAAATGTTGAGTGATGTTCCCGAAACCGAGACATGATGTATTGGGACATTGTGGGATGTACCAAATTCCATCAATTTTAAGGGACTTTTGTGAATTGGAAAAGAGTATAGATAAGATGTAATCAACTCTTAACACTATTAGATTTGTGTAAAATTTCCTATCTTTATTTGTGCAATGGGTGTTCACGATTTGAATAAAAATTGATTTAAATTAAAGAATTAAAATAAATCAATTAAACTATGAGTGTACTTGGATTTGGTGTTGTTTGATTTTATATATTTTTAAAAATAACAATATTTGATTTTGTTCGAAAGAATTTGAAGAAATAATTGAATCGACAGATTGTGTGTGTATATATATATTGAGGAACTTTCACATATAGTCATTCAAAAATAGCCTAGTTACTCTCCATAACTATAGTTTGATAATTACAATTCGTAACTACATGTTATAAGGAGGAGAGAAGTGAGCGAGACTGGGAGAGAGAGGAGAGAGGGCAAAGAGTGGAAGAGATTCGAGGCTCTACCGGAGATTGTCGGCTTTAGAAGCCACAAAAGGGTCGGTTACTGAAACAATAAATGCGTATACGAGAGAAGGCAGAATTGTGAAGAAGTATGAACTGGAAAAATGCATCAAGGAGCTTCGCAAATATAAAAGATACCAGCATGCTTTTGAGGTATAGTATACTATACCCTCTGAAATCTCTTGATCATTTAGCTCACCAATTTTACTTTATTAGTAATAGAATGAAATGAGCTGGTAAAATGGAATGTATATAGTTTACATTGCTGATATAACTAATTTATACTGTAGTTGACAGACTTGTGTGGAGTTTAGGGACGAATTGTTTAGGATATAGATGATTCATATGATGATTGATTGCTATAGTTTTGGAATTGGAACATTTAAATTTAGAATGACAACTTTTACCGTATGGTGAAAAGGGTTTTCAATCTGTAGTTGCCAAGCTCTTGTTATTGGCTCACTATATCTTCCCATTCCTATCCTTTCCGTAGTACAAGGCATGTTTTCAGGCTTAACCAGTTCCTGTATAAGATGTAAAAATATCAAGAAGAAACAATCTTGTATCAACTCTTAAGACAAATTGTTGGCCGGTATTGGAATGAATGCCCTGAATATAGTGGTATGTGAATACGTATATGAGATTTTTATAGCCGACCCCAAATAGTTTGCAATACTGATAAGGCATTGTTGATTGTTGTGTTATAATGAGCTAGTTAGATCTTTTGGAGTTTACCTGCTGCAATTGTATTGTATTTTTCTATCAACTGTTCGCCAGGAATATGTTATGCAGACATTGTTTCGTTATGCCATCTAGATGGAGTATATCCACATAAAATGATTTTGAATATCATGAGTGATATTCCTATTTATTGTTGCAGATAATGGAGTGGATGGAGAAAAGAGGTATAAACTTTTCGTATGGTGATTATGGGATCTCATAGCAAAAGTTCAAGGAATAACTGCAGCTGAAAAATACTTTGGCAGCCTCTCACCCTCCATGCAGAATCAAAGCACTTATGGAGCACTCTTGAATTGCTACTGTGTTGAAAAAATGACAGACAAGGCGTTATCCTTCTTTGAGAAAATGGATCAATTGAAGTTCACAAATAAATCATTGGCATTCAACAATCTTATGTCGTTATATATGAGACTAGGGCAACCAGAAAAAGTCGCCCCTTTGGTACAGGAAATGAAGAGCAGAAAGGTTCTGCTATGCACATTTTCATATAATATCTGGATGAATAGCTATTCTTGTTTAGATGATATAGAAGGAGTGGAAAGGGTCTTCGAAGAGCTAAAACAGGAGAATGCAAAGGAGTGTGATTGGACTACATATAGTAACTTGGCTGTTGCCTATGTTAGGCTGGGCATAACGAAAAAGCTGAGGTAGCTCTAAAGAAGCTTGAGGAAGAAATGGGACCTCGTAATCGCCAGGCTTACCGCTATTTGATTAGTTTGCACGCCAGAATATCTAATCTAGGTGAGGTTTATCGTATTTGGGGTTCTCTAAAGTGTTCCTTGGATCTAACCAATTCTAGTTATCTTGTCATGCTTCAGTCCCTTAGTATACTATGGTAATTCTTTCATTTCACATTTTTCATTTTCTTTTCCTCTACTCTGCATATTCGGTCATAAGTGCGAAATTTAAAGAACTGAATCAGGGGGTATCCAACTCTTCAGGTACAGATTCTCAAGAGCCCAGTAACTTTTTCACTATTAAAATTTGTAAATATTTGATTGTGAACCCAATTATCATTAGAAATTAATTTGAGATTATTGTAGGAACTCATAAACTTCAATCCTGGATCTGCCTTGGCTTGGAATGACATAGACTTTAATATATGCAGAAAATTAGTACTGGGATTAAAGTTCATACGACTCATATGAGGCCCTGCTTGTGATAACTTACAAGCATGACATAGTTCTCAAAGGAACCTTTCCAAGTTGCATGATTTACACTTTTGCATCTTGAAATGTATAGTCAGTTAGTGACATAGCATATAGCTTTGAATTTTGATGCTACTCCAACACAGAAGAGAAAGAAACTGTAAAATCCAAGTGTAAAGTTCTTTATTTTATCACAAAACAGAACTAGAATCAAGAATGAACTAATCAACATCAACTCGAAAGCAAAAAGGTTATCTGCAGAAAGCTGTCCCAGTTTTAAAGATTGCTCATGGGTGTAAAAGGGATGTTCTTGGTTCTCGAGACTCTATGCCCAACAAAGATGGATATACAAAAAGCCACTACTGCAAAGAGAAGGGAGAATGCTGTAGCAGCATCCCAAGAACTTCTCTGTGGCACCTTGGTGAGCTCAGAACTATCTGGCAAGATATCCAACAGTATCCAATCGCAGCTAATTGAAAAATGACCAGACCCGTGCCACGGTTTTCCATCCATGGGGTACCAAAATGCCAGACATCTTACTTGTTTTGCCAATTGTGAACTGAGCATCCTGCGAAAAATCCGCACCCTTCGAAATCAATCAACTAAAACTCAGCACAAATTAAAGGGCTGATTGTTCAACAACGTTTTGTCTTAGTAGGCGTTTGGTCATGCGATATGGTATCGTGAGATGGAATCAGCGTTTGGACATGCGATTTTACGCTGATTCCATATCATGAGACGTGATTCCATTTTCTCCAAAAACCATGATATGAAATTTTATGGTAATTCCATATCATGATTTGAGATATTTTTAATACAAAAATTGATCTACAAGTTTATATTTTGTTAAAACAACCCCACATTTATATATACTAACCATTTATTTCATATGTAAATAAAATTAATAATCACATCATTACTTTTTAAAATTTATTATTCTCACTAACATATAGTCACTTTAACTCACACCAACCGATTGTTAAAGTGATGAAATATTTATGGTCTATGAGCATGAAAATATAGTTGCGGATGATATTGACCAACAAATGGCTCAAAGTAACAATGTTGGTTCGTCTTCTCGATCACATGATCGAGAAATGCAAGTTCAACGTGAGAAAATTGTCCGTATTATGTGGGAGAATTATATTAAAGACTAGTACACTACAATTTATGTTCAATTTTTTTTAATTAAATTAAAGTTAGATGAAACAATTACTTAAGTGGAGAACAAATAGCTTTGTAATAATTTATTATGCGATTTTATAAATTTTTGTTTATTTGATAAGATTGAATAAACAATTGAGGCTATTCTAATAGTTTTACAACTTATAGGATTTTTATGTCTATAGAAAATATACAACACAAAAATTCCATATTGCATGTCCAAACAAAACTTCAATTTCATCTCATGATTCCATATCATGATACCATATCATGATTCCGTATCATGATACCATAGCACCCTCCCGCACCCCAAACGGCCAAGACTCTGTTCTTGCAAGTTTAAGTCGTGTAAATTAGAAATGTGTGTTAACAGAAAGAATGAACTACTCTAAAGTTTACTGCCGGAAGGAATTTCAACTGTAACAGAATCTCATCCAATTACTAATATCGCATTAACACTTTGTTACCTGTTGAAGGCGATCCATTGTTCTCAGCGGCCTGGAAAATTCAAAATAATATGCACCGGATTGGTTGCTGGACGAATATGGGCTGTCATCCTTAATAAAACCTGTTTCAATAGTATTAGATGTTGGAACAAAGGTAGTAAATGACGAGTTTTAAGACACAATAACTATCAAACAATAATAAAGATTTTGCTACATAGGCTTCCTAAAATATTTTCTTGACAAGTCAAAAGCCTCTGCAATGAGAAACCACAATGGTCCAACATAGAGGTACAGAACACAACCAAGGTCACTGCCTGCAACACAAGATTATCTTCCTTTAATCTCTTTCTTTGTTAACTAAGAGATAAACAGCATGGTGCTGGTGTATGCACAAAGTCAAGGATACAAAAGCGCAGCCCTGATGCTAAATCTTTTGGTAACTGAGGGAGTCCTTTAAAGATTCTTAACTCTAAATACGGCCTTCCGAAAAGTGGCTACTGTACGACAACTGTGAATGTTTGGACATCATTACAGTAGGATCTCTAAATACCTCTTATTTTCTAGTTAGTGTAGTCACAAAGACCAAGGTTGGTAAGAGCGTTCTATCTCACTGGAACCTAAACTAGTCTTCTGTGGTATGACAGATCTCTACTGGTTACGACAGATAATCTTCCCAGTCATTCAGCTATACTATCTTCAAAATGCAGAAAAGGTGTAATGAGTCTTGCTCGTATCCATTGATTAGCATGGTTGAGAAAGACAGAACTTAACTAAGACTTTCACAACGTAGGAGCACAAAAAGAATCTAATGGACAGATGACTCCTGGGAAAGTTTAGTCATGCTCTACATAGACCCCCCAAATGCACCATTTTGTAAGTCTGGCACCCTGATGATTGAAGGTGTCAAAAAGGGACGAGATGGACCACCTTACATTACATATGATTTGGAAAATTACTCCTGGTTCTTACTAATGTTTTCCATTTGACTCCCAGCACTTGATGCCTAAGCAGGTCTGGTAATCCAGTATCCAGCTTCAATCTAATAGTAAAGATTTCTTTTTGTTGTTCAATTTATCATCTTCTGCAATGAGGCCCTAACATATTTGCAAACCAGCATTTTGTATAGTAGATCTATGTGGATAAAAATATATGTAACAAAAGAAACTAACCAGAGTTTTGAAAGAAAAACATTTTAACAAGGTGAATAACAAGGACACTAAGACATCCCACACAGAAAAGCATTTCAACAAGGTGCATAACAAGGACATTAGGACATCCCGTACAAGCCTTAACAGTTATTATTTCAAAATCCAAAGAGGTGTCTGCGGAAGTTCAGTTGAGAATCTGGAAGAAAGAAGGTCGTGCAACAAAAGAAGAAGAAGAAGATCCATTACAGGTTCAATTTCTTAGATCAATGAAACCAAACAACCAACTGATCCGCAGAAAGTTAGTGAAGCTGGCTCATCGTTTTCGGTCTTTAAGATTGTTACTGAAGTGGAGTAGGTTATATTTCACTGTTCACTCAGAACAATCTGCCGATAAACCCTTCTGAGTTTCACACTAAATAAGGTAACTATTTGTTCTATTCTATGAGACAATTTGTTTCTGCACTTGCAACCACAACGGTTTCACAATTGTCCTATTCCTGTATGTAACTTTTGAAACTTCTAGATTCATCAAAAATTGAAAAGGCTTCCTAATATATTTATACCACGTGCTATAGGCTATAGATAAGAAAGCAGCTTAATTCTTCCTAATTTTGCTTTACTACAGAAGAAAAAGTAAAATATTCTCAAGTGAGAGAAGGACAAATGTTCAGGGATTAGAAGCCATATCGCTATTTACCTGAGTGAGTCAAGCTACTGTGCCACCATGTTCCTGTCCAATCATTCTGTGCACCAGTATCATTTACTGTTATACAAGGAGAAGTCAATAAGCAGACCAGAGGGAAAAAGCGAAAAATTGGTTGAAACATAAATAAGTAATATGATTCCGCAGTTTCGATACTAAAACGGTATTTCCAACAAGACTTCAGACAAAATTTCCCTCTTGTACAGGAGAATTATCTTACATCACAGTCAAGTTTACTCAGACAAATTTTGCAGGTTGTTGAAAATAATGACTGTCTAATGTCTTAATGCAATTTTATTTCTTCATGGAAAATAGATCCAGTGACACTCAGTGAAGGAAGGACCAACATATACACTGTTGGCAGCAGCTCCCTTAAAATGTGGAGGCGGGAGAGTTTGATGCAGAATTAGATTTAAAATGACACAATTCACAAATCTAATATAAAAGGAAAGACACACAAACACGTAATAAATAAACAAATCTAATCCTGGCAATACAAGATCTATATCTCAATCCCGGTTAAAATGTTGCACATCATGATAAACAAATAGCTAATACGCATATAAAAAACTTCCTTGCTACTTGACGAGTCTTTTGCAGTTCTACATTCGTTTGTGTCTCAGTACAATAGAATGCAATGATATCACTTCACTATTTATCCATGCTACTGATTGGAAAACAAAGAAGCAACTATTAGCTATACTATCCACCATCCAATTACACATACATGAGACCAAGCTTGAAGCTTCTCAACGAAAAAACGTATTTAAAAAAAAAAATTCCAAATCATACCTGATGGACCATAGCCATCCAAATAACGGCAGTGTGGGTTCCAACAATACAGATCAACCAAATGACCAAACCTGTCCTAGTGTGCCAACAGAAACGAATTAGTACTTCTTTACTAATTTAATGGCACAAAAATTGTTGTGATTTGCAAGAAAGAGTGTAGAACCAGTTTGATTACCTGTCACCCCCATTTCCCTCACTGTTATCTAGCAGGTTCCCTCCATAGAGTCTTCCAGGAATTGCCGTTCCTATTGAGAAATGCATAAGGTCAACTTCATGGCCCTTGCATGACTTGCTCGTGCAAGTATCAGGTTCTTCTTCACACCCTCCCATCTTGAAGTTATGAAGTAGAAGAACTTCTCAGATGTAATTCCAAAAGCAGTTCATCATATTTAACAGGAAGAAGTAGGATAAAGAAAGGAAGGAAAAGAAAGATAAAGA